GCGCAGGAATGATGTTAACTGGAGCCAGGAAGATGTTAACTCAGAGAACACCAACCTCTGTTAACTCAGACAACACCAACCTCCCCCCCGAGGGCCGGGGCAGCGCAGACATCAGTGTGAGCAACAACGGTTTCGTGTCACTTTGATGCCTCCAACAACGGCACTTTCTTCCTGTCCTCCTTTAAAAAAAAAAAAAAAAGAAAAAAAAAAAAAAAAAAGCTCCCGAGAGCTTTCGTTCCAATTTTAAAATTCCGTTCCAATTTTAAAATTCCGTTTCTTTTGGTGCCGTTTCCCGACGATTGCTCCGAGGGAGGAGGAGAATAATGAGCGGGCTTTGATAGGGATCATAACGGAGCCATTTACTGCAGGAACTCCGAGCATTGTTCTGCCTTTAAACGTGAATTATGGAATCACAAGCCATTCACCGAGTCATAGATTACAACGAACTGCAACTGCATTACAGCAGCAGCACAGCCCTCGGATCAAACCCACACTTATCACCTCCTTTAGCCCTCGTTAACAACCCAAACAATCTGTTTTAACAATCCAAACAATCTCTTTTGGAGCAGGCTCAGGGTGGCACTTTCAGCCAGTGAACCCCTGTCCCTCCCTCAAAATAACGCTTTGATGCTCCCGTGTCACTCCGGCTCCGGTTAAGTTTTAAATACATTTATTTTCCGCCTCGGTTACACCCTTTAAATCCTCCTAATCACCAGTCAAATAAACTTCAGATGGTTTAAAATCTATGTGACTAAAGGGCAGCCCTGGCCCGAGCCTTTGTACAAGATTACCTGCTGCAATAAAAAAAACCATCACAGAGTGTACAAGTAACTGTGTGTAAATGCCAAAAAATGAACTCCAAATGTCAGGAAAGCGCCAAAGCAGCCACGTGCCCTCAGAATTTGGGAGTGATGTGCTCAAGTGCTAAAGGCAGGGATTGGCAGCTGTTCTGGCAGAGATTTGGGAAATGAGAAGCAGGATTTGCCTTTTCTTACCCCAGTGAGACTTTCCTGACACCCTCACCTGCCCTGAATCCCTCTCACCCGTCCCAACTCCCACCACCAGCATTCCCAGCAATCCCAGACCCTGGGAATAAACAGAGCTGGTCCCTGACTTCACAGGGATGAGTGGGATGATGTTGGGATGAGCTTCACCACCACTGCTGACCCCTCTGAGCCCCTGCCCACACTGATCGGGACCAACAGAAACACCCTGGTGTCACAGGAGCAGAGGTTTGAATCAGAAACGAGAGGGTGTTTGAGCAGAATTTAATTATCAAGTGCACAAAACGCTGAGGGCTCCAGATAGTGTCAGTGAGAGCATTTGCTTGGCTTAATGTCTTGGGTAATTGGCTGGTTGGACTCATTACCAAGAAGTTCTCGGCATTAATGATGATTTTAAGGACTCTAAAGAAAAACATTTATGGGGAGATGAACGGCATTGTAGGTTCAATAATCAACATCAGTGTAACTTCAATTTTAACGTGGTTAATCTGTCATTTACCCAGGAAAAAATGAACTGCCTTCTACTACAAACAGGTTTTTTTCCCCCATATCTGGGGACTTCACTGTCCAGGGCTTTCTGAAGCTTTCAAGCCTGCACAAGCAGCTCTTCACCCCCACAGCCACCAAACTCTGCATGACCAGAAACACGGGAGGGGAATTTAAGTCCTCGGGGAGGAAAGTGCAGGGAAAAGCGAAATTACAAATAAGAGAAAGTAAAGTGCAGGAATTCAGATACCCCAGTGGCTGCACAGACACTGCTCCTGCTGTAACCCACTGCCAACCCACACCACCCATCCTCCCTGGCATCCCAGGGAATTAAATAAGCTTTTAAGGACGTTTTGAGCACTCGGAAGGAACCGACAATTGGAATTCCGGAAAAAAAAAGGGCATTAAATTCAATAGGAACGAGACGCTCCCGCTGTGGATGGAGTGTGTGGACGGGCACAGATCCTGGTAGAGACTTCACCCCTTGGTTTGACATCCCCACAAGGCAAATGTGGGCAGAGAGAACTGAGGTTGCTGGGCACACTGGGCACACTCACCCTCGTAGGTGGCCTGGAAGCCTTGGGCGCTCACGGCGTAGTCGCTGACGAGCCACAGGGACAGCAGAGCCCCCGAGCTGACCACGGGGGCAGGCAGCTGGAACCCTGTCAACCTGCAAGGGAACAACAGCAAGGTCACACTCCCCGTGCCAGGCAGCTGGAACCCCCTTAGCCTGGAAAAAAAACCAGGAGCAGGGTCACACTCCCCCCCCATCCCTGCCCTGGAGCCACCACAGCCCCACAGGGTGGGACAAAGAGGGTTCAGCAAATCCTGGGCAAACCCACCCCGGGCTCTGAAGACCTTCTGGCTGAGCAGAACTGGAGCTCTTCACTGATTGTATCTCAAACCACCTTCTCGGCTTCACACCTTGCTCACCAACACCTGCCTGGGGCTTTTATAACTCACAAACCCTCCCCTTTTATAACTCACAAACCCTCCCCTTTTATAACTCACAAACCCTCCCCTTTTATGACTCACAAACCCTCCCCTTTTATAACTCACAAACCCTCCCCTTCACCCCGGCCAAGGTGGTTTCTGAGCAGATTTCCAGACAGGACATTTGTTTTAAAGCAACCTCATCATCCTGCCATTCCCAAGGCCAGAAATTCAGGTGCAATCCCTGCTCTGCCCTCAAACCAGACTTTCACAAACCACAGGGGCAGCAGGCACTGAAGGAACTCGGTGTCACTGGAGATCAGAGGTGTTCAAGCTGGATCACAGGGGCGAGAGCAGCACAAGATAAACAGGGAAAAGGGAAGTTTCAAGCCCCTTACACTCTGAGGTTCATCCCACATTGTTGTGCAGAGCCAGATTTTCTGCCAGGGAGGGCAAAGGACCTCCTGGGATACAAAGCACTGGGACCTCCAAGAACACCTCTAAGTGTGTGTTTGATTCAGGGTATTTGCTCTCCTCATATTTGATAAAAGCACCCAGAGAACAAATCAGATCTTTCATTTGGGGGCCCCCCCTCCTCCCCCTGACCATTTTTACTGCCAGCCCAAGAAGTTCCTCCTCAACCCCATCAGCAGCCCCAGAGGCAGTGAGGGAACTTCCCAACTCTTACTCTGGCCCTGACTTAGCAAACCTAAATATTATTTCCCACAGACTGAGCTCTGACTGATGGGATCTGACGGGCTCTGCCTGAAAACCTGATTGAAGCAAATTTCCCAGCTACTGGCAGAGCTCACCCTCTTGATGCCCACGATGCCAGGGCAAGTCTGAACGCCAGCACTGACCCACCCTGGGCATCAAACCCACTGTCTGGGCAAGCTGGGGGAGCAATTCCTCCTGCCTGCTGCAAATAAAAGGTTCCAGGATCAAGGATTCAGCTGTCACCGGGCACAGAACTGAGGAAGTGACACTGCTTTTTATATTCATTAATTCCTCAGTTTAATTAAAGCAGCCTCCTGAACATTCAAAAAATCCAGGAAATGCCTGGACCAGCTTTAATAAAAGCACCCAGTGGAGAGCAGAACCAGCTCAGTTCATCCTCCTCTAATCACCCCAGATGATCCCTTGGAGTTTGGGAATGGATCCGGGTTTTTCCACCCATCCCAAGCAGATGCACCGTGGGTTCTGCTCACAGCCCATGGGGGGAGAGGATCCCACTCTCTGCACATGTTGCTTTTAATTCAGGGCTGCAGAACACGTCCTTTACCTGTCAGGAAGTGCTCCTGTTCCCTGGGAATCACTGGGAATGAAGTGGGATCTGCACCAGCAGTGCCCTGGGGGGTTTGTACCAACCCAACCCCTATTTTCTACTTACAGGCCTTTAAAAGAAAGTGCCTGTGCATGAGGGCATGAAATTGTAACTGAGGGTTGTTCTCACTCTCGCTACAGATCCCACACTGCCTGGAGAGACAATTTCCAGGGGAACCTCCAGGCTTCCTGAGCCTCAAGAAATTATTGAACCCTCCAGGCACCCAACTCAGAGGGTCGCTCGTGTCTTTCCAGCAGCAAAGGGGCTGCCTGGCAGCACAAAAGGGGACCAAACACTGTTCCCCCCGAGATCAGACAGCCCCTTCTGCCCACAAAGTGCCCCCATCAGTGCTAAAACTGAACTTACTCAGAAGCAAGCAGGAAATATTGCTTTGATTGGGAAAAATATCTATATAGCAACTCCTCCCCTCTGCTGGACAGAGCTCCCTGGCTCCTCCTGTGCTGGGAAGGAGAGGAAATTCCTCCTGTTTCTCATGGAAGTCAAAATAAAAGTTCTTCCTCCTCTGAAGCCTCCAACCAACACACACAACTGACATTTTTTCCTTCTTTGGTGGAGGAGCCCAGGCAACATCCTCCCGAAGGAACAATAATTTACCCGTGTCCATGTTCAAACCAACCCCAGTAAAAGCTCAGCTCTCCTGTTCCAGAGCCCCAGGACAGCCAGGCTTGGCAGGACACTCCTAAATCCACAGCCCAGGCAAAGTGAAAGCATGGGAGGGAGAGAACATGGAATCATCCCCCAGTGGCCTCATGCCCCAAACAGCAACTCTGACATCACTTCTTTAGGGGAGCAATAAACAAAAATACACCCTAATGAAGGGGGAAAAAAAAAAAAAGCAGCTAAGTCTGTTCCTGGTTTTTATGAAGGGCCATGACAAGAAGGTGAGGGCAGTAACAACAGCACCAATAACCATATTCCAGTCCTTCTGTACCTCTGGCCAAATGGATTATTGAGTGATTATCCCCTTAACGTGCTTGGAGCCAACACTGATTGTGTGTGAGATTTTCAATGTGTTTTTCATTGGCTTAATTCTGCTCCTGCTGTGAGGAACCAAACGAGCCCCAGCGCCAGAAATGCCACTCCAGGAGCCTGTCCTTGCAAAAATCAATATCCCCCAAACAAAGCAGCACAGAAATCCTCTGCTCTCCTTGTGTCCTCCCTCCTGCCTCCCCCTCGGGTTTGCCCTGGAATGTTTCGGGGGTCTGGGTCCTCCCCCTGCAGCAGAACAGCAAACTCTGAGTCAGGACAGGTTTGGGAGAGCTGAGGGGGGTGAAAACCTGCAGTGCCACGAGGGTCAAGCCTGGACCAGGCTCCAGGTGGGATCTGCACTCACAGAATCCTGGAATTCCTGAGGTTGGAAAAGCCCTCCCAGCTCATGGATCCCCCCTGTGCCCCATCCCCACCTTGTCACTCAGTGCCACCTCCAGCCCTTCCTTGGGCACCTCCAGGGCTGGGCACTCCAAACCTCCCTGGGCAGCCCCTGCCAGTGCCTGAACACCCTTTCCAGGCAGAAATTCCTCCTGATGTCCAACCTGACCCTCCCCTGGCACAGCCTGAGGCCGTTCCCTCTCCTCCTGTCCCTTGTTCCCTGGGAGCAGAGCCCGACCCCCCCCCGGCTCCCCCCTCCTGTCAGGGGGTTGCAGAGCCAGAAGGTCCCCCCTGAGCCTCCTTTTCTCCAGGCTGAGCCCCCCCAGCTCCCTCAGCCCCTCCTGCTGCTCCATTCCCTTCTCCAGCCCCTCAAAGGACCTTTCCCATCTCCCCTCTGGATGTGCCACCACCCTCCCTAATGTCACAAAGTCCCTCCCCAATGGAAAACTGTCCCATCATCCACCTCCCAAAGGAGTTGAGCACCAGCCAAAGACCCCCTGCCCGCTCTGCTCAGCAGGTTCAACCCACAACCTGACACTTCCTTTGCCCTAAAACAGAACATTCCCTCGCTCTGCCCTCCATCTGTTGCACATTATCCCATCCCACTGGATCCAGGACAACTGTACCACACACAGTGACTCAGGCTCCCATTCTGGAGTGCAGGTGCCATAATTAAACCCCCAGCACATTATTTTTCTGGTAGGATGCCCACCATCAGCTCAGGCTGCAATCAAAATAGTTATTGCAGCTGGCAATCCAACAGCCTTTAAAGCATAAAATGCTGGAGAAGTGTCTCAGAACATCTAATGAAAATGCATTGGATTGTATCATTTAACCCAGCATTAAATTACACCACACCATCCTTCAGTGAGCTCTTCCTGCATGTAATTTAAAGGCACCTATTAAGGAAAATTTCCCATCAAATGAACCTCTCTGTCTCTTTGCTGTGTGCAGTTGAGACGACACAGCTCCCCAAGCAAGGGCCAGGCTGGCACCTCTGCACCATGCCAGGGCAACCACCAGGTCAGGTCAGGTCACAGGGGGGGATCCTGAGGCTCTGCTCAGCCCTGGGCAGTGCCTGCTCCAGGTCTGGGCTCCTCAGGACAGCAGGGCCAGGGAGCTCCTGGAGCAGGGCCAGGGGATGGATTAAGGGATGTAAAGATGCTGAAGGGATGGAGCATCTCTGGGAGCAGGAAAGGCTGAGGGAGCTGGGGCTGTTCAGCCTCCAGAACCATCTGGACACAACCCTGGGCCACTTGCCCTGGGATGTGGGACCAGGGGGGCCACTGTGGCCACAGAACCACAGAACATTCTGAGCTGGGAGGGACCCACAAGGATCATGGAAGTCCAGCTCCTGAGGGTTCCTTCCCAGCCTCACTCATTCCGTGATTCTGGGATTGTGTGCTGAGTAAAAACCAGCTGGGAGTGAGAGCTGCCCTTTGGGAAGAGCCTGGAAGGAGCAGGTGAGTCCTGTCCCACCGTGCTCCAGCCACCCTGAAGACATTTGGGAAGTGAAGTCATGAAATATTGAACTTAATCCATCACCAGCTGGGGCAACAGAGCCCAGAGAATTCCCACTGCCCCTGAATCCATGTGTCTGTCGAGCTGTGCCCGAGCACAGACACTGGGGGCACTGAAAGGTTCTGGGTTCAATCCTCCTCTGAACACTGGGCACGAGAAAAGCAGCGTTAATGAACATTCCCGACTGC